TAGAGAGCAATGAGATCAGGTGGTAACATGGTTGTGATGGTTGTTCAGCTGACATTAGTTTGCTTTTGTCACACACAGACTTTGTTTTAAAAAAAATCCAAGAAGAAGAAATATTGTGAAATGAAAATAAAATAAGTTAATCATGTCTCGGCCACTGCAGTCTCTCACAGTCTGCTCTTCTCCTCTCTGGGCTATCTGCTGCATTTACAACAACAATCATCTGTGGTTTTGTGCTCTGGGATTCTCTATCAAGGGAAACGGTGAGTCTGGCTGTCACTGTATTCAGTGATGACATAATTCCTGCCCAAAGTCACACTTAATTTACACTATAGAGGGAGTATGTACCTACCTAGAGTCAGACTTTAGTTACACTTGCACTGCAGTGGCGGCCTGGGGATGGGATGGAGAATGAGTGTTAATCACACAAGGAGAAGGCTATGTCGAGGGAAGACACAGAGGAACAGAGACAGCACTGCAAATATTGTTGCCAGACTGTTTACCAAGCACATAATCGTGTGAAATTAAGACTGACTCAAAAAATAGCCTTAAAAACACACTGTACAGTACTGTATGCATGTGTGAAGGCAATAACCTGTTTTCAATCACTGTTTATAGCGTCATTGACTGTTTGATTCTTTTCTAAGAATGGCCACATACACACTGGTTCATTCTTACATGGTTTAAAGATCGTATGATCTCCTGTTACCAATAATGAAATGTACTGATTTGGTCATGACCATTACTGAAGCCACAATATGTGCATACACTACATACAGCTCCTACTATATCTTCTAGAGAAGATATAACATCCAGCTGTATCCAACATCCTTTAGTTTGTAGTATGTAGGTCAGACGTATGCAGTTCATGTCGAACCCAATTAATATTTTATGTCCCTGCTTCTTGTACATATATGTGAATATACGCTGTGCATACATGTGTATCGGTAAAAATCTGGCTCAGAGAGAATATTTGCAGAGTGTGATGGGGGGAACACAGTAAGACACACACAGTGGTACTGTTACAAATATCAGATCATGCATGGCAATGTAGAGCGAGTTTTACATACTGTGTCAACCGTAAAGAGAACACATGAGAGGACTGACAAGTGTTACCACATAAAAAACTTTCACACGGGTTACAGGAAAAGGCTTTTAGGAGTTACTTTTAGAGTTAGCGTGTCGCTCTGGTAATGACCTCGAGCACAGACAGAAACAACAGACAGGTCTGTGGTGGCTGGAAAAATATTTCTGTCAACAGTTAACTTTAATCTGTGTCAAAATTAACAATATAAAACAATGGGGTAAAAAAGCAGCAGATGAAATGTCAATGAAGAGCATTTTTTTCCCTGTAAACCTCAGCATCGTATCTGTTTAAAGTCTAGATAAATTATATTATCCTTACATTAAAATGCTGCAGATTTACTGCACATAGTACGGATTTGCTAATAAGTATTAAAAACTCTAACACCATTACCCAACACCTTGTGCACGGTAACGTCCGATGTTCAGGTAATTTGGACAACTATTTGGCCAAAACCGCACAGTTTACACAACAGCAAATACTCTGATATCACTGATACATTGTAGTTGATTACATGAAGTTTAAGAAATCTTATACCACTAGTGAATTTATGTGGAATCATTAATTGCCTTGCATTATGCTTTGTCAGCAGCCCACTTTGTATTTACTTGGTATGAACTTCAAATGGCCAAAACAAAAATGTCCTCTCAGCCACATTTAAATCACTTTGTACCCTCGGTAATCACATCCTGTTGTGAGTGACTATTGAGTCACTTTCTATTTTGATCACAGTGGGAAATGTCACATTACAAAGAAGTTCGTTTTGAAACTCTTTCCAGCTACAAAAGGACCTTTAAATTATAATGCGTGACACATTGCATTTAGCTTAACAAATAACCAATTCATCTAAGAGTGAGCACACTGGACTCATTCATATATATATATAAATATATACATGCATACACA